AGGTGAGGTCAGTCATCTGCAGGTTTCTGCTGCTGCTGCTGCTGGAGCAGAGAAAACATGCAGAGTGACCAGAACCTTCAGAACAAAGAAGGAAAATATGGTTTTTTTTATTTAAATAATCATTTTGACTGTTGGTGAGTAATTTTGCTCAACCTCTTTTTGCTCGCCACATTAACAGAAGGCACAATGAAGCACTCAGCTTTTTAACGTGGTTAACAAAGCATTAAATGGTGCGCTTAAGTGGCTGATTTAGATGGAGGAAGCTTCAACACCACTGTGTCAAACACAAGGCCAGGTCTGACAGGTAGGGAAGGTTCACACAAAAAGAGAGAGCAAAGAGTGAAAAATACTCTCAGAGTACAGGAGAGGACAGTGTTTTCCTTAAAAAGACAAAAAATCCAAACTCCTGTCAATGAGCTCCTCTGTACACAGGACGCTTTATGAATCAGAATCAGTTCTTTTATTCTTAGTAACGTATAAAAAGTGGATCCGTCATCCGAAGGCCAGTCAGGAGGGCAGCAGATTAAGCAGAAATTCCCAGAGCTCCCCGTCCCAGCTCATCCGGTGGGATTCCGAGGTTTTCCCAGGCCAAGCGTAAGACATAATCTCTCCACTGTGTTCCAGGTCTGCCCAGCGGCTTCCTCCCAGTGGGACCGGTCCAAAATACCTTAGGAAGGGACTTTCACCTGACACCCGAACCACCTCATCTCCCTCCAGTGGAGAGGACAAGCAGACGGCCTGAGCAGCCAAAAAACTCATCACAAAAACAAAAAGAGTGTTTTCCACTGCTGTGGAAAAAAGATTATATTATAAGCTGCTTCTGCTCATAATTTCACATTTTCAGCTCCTGCCAAACGTTCCTGATCCTAGTAAGAAGATGCTGTCCTAATATGCCAATCAATAGAGCATTTATCTAATTCGTCTGTTTAGTTTGCTTTAATCAAACTCTAGTTTGTTTGCCTAGAAAGTCCGGTTTGTTTGTGGAAGTATGAATGCTAATCAAACTCTGATGTGGACCAAAACAGTGAAATCTGGTCCAAATACAAGCCTACGCCTCGGTTGGCTGAAGTGAACGCTGCATATGTGGCCGCAGACTACAGAACAGGGCATTCTGGGTAAATACAACCTAAACAAACGCTTGAGTCTGACACTAGCAGGGAAAATGGTTTGTTGTCTTTTGCCAAAGATGGAATAGAAATCCTACAACGGCGAGGAGGGGAACAGGTTTCTCAAAGAGTTTGCATAACTTCTTCTATAAAGTGTGAAAGGAAACCGCAGCAGCTAAAGTTGTAACAAACGTTGAGTTACAACACCGGACCATCAGGTGTGAAAACATCCTCAGTGACCCAATAAGGAGCAGCTGACTCCTGTTAGGGTCTCTCATCATAAATCTGATAACTGTCACGTTGACTGTAAGGCGGCCATGTTGCCTCTTCAGGAGACAAATCTGAGAAAACACTGGAGGTGAACCAGACAAGTTGCCCCAACACCTTTAAGGAAGGAAGTTTATATTTGTTCTGCAGCTTTTTAGATCTTCTTTCTCAAAATAAAGATCCTGTGTTCAATTATTTAAAATAACTTCCTATTAAATCCACTTCCTGGGTAACAGATTACATCATGTTGACGAACTACTAAAAATATAAAAGTTACAGATTTATTCCTGCTGTTTTACACAAATCCCCCCCCAAAAGAATAAACTGAAACAAACCTTTTGTGAGAGCAAACTGCAGAGAGAACCTGCAGGGATTTGAACCCAAGACTTTGACATCAAAGTTTCTTATTTAAGTTTCCTTAAAGCTCAGTTTCATTTCTCGTGTCTAGTTTGTTTACATTTTTACTTTCTAAACCTACACCGATGCCTAATATCTAATGCTAGACAGAATTGAAAGTTTTTATTATATTTTATGAGGTCTAAATTAGTTTAATACGGTCTGAAATGTGTAAACTGAAGAGAAGGCAAGCTGCACTTGAAAAACTGATGAGTTTAGAGGATGTCTGAATGTAATATAAGGAATAAATGGAGAATGAGACAAACCCAGAAAGCCTAGCTGCAGCTAATAAACAGGGTTTATGTGGGCACTATATCATTACAGTGTATGATTTCAGTGCAGACGTAAGGAGGTGTTTTGGCTTTAGTTACTGCTGAGAAAAAACAAAGTATTCTCCGTAAATGTATTTTCTAAATCCCACCAATTAGGGGTGCCGGCACTTAGATAAAATATTGTTTCTGGATCATGAAGGAGCTTCTATATTAAATTCCACCAAACTTCTGCTGAGTGTTCAATCTGAGCTGGAGCAGAGCGCCGACACAAAGCGCGGAACAGGAAGCCGCCTTGCGTCAAGACCCTTAAACTCTGCAAAAAACCTGGATCTGGCAGCTTCTGCCCAAAAAACAAGTCCAACCCGGTTTGACCCCCAGAGTCCCCGGTGTAAAACTTCTTACCTCATTTCTGACACTGAAATGACTCCACCCTCCTCCAGACAGAAGAAAAGGCTTACAAAGTGGAGAACACCCTGTTTTAAAGTCTCCCTTCTGGTAGTGCGATGTAGTAAAGTGACTTCCCCTTGTTTGTTTTCTCTGAGCCCGGACAGAAAGGATGAAAAAGATATTTGGCACGGATGAGGATGTATGTTGGTGCTGATCTCGTTCTCTGCTCTGGGCCAAGCTCCAAGGCAGAGGTATCTCCTGCCCAGCTGGAATAATAAGAGTTTGGATGATATTTCCTCCATAAACAACAGTAGGAAGAGGTAGGGACGGAGTTTGGGGAGCATCTCTTGGAAGCCTGCCTGTGACATCCAGCGAAAACTATCAGACAAAGGGTGGAAGGAGGGACGATGACAGAACGGCTTCTGGCAGAGCTTGAAACGCAGAACTGACTAAATGTGACGGTTACAGTTGACAAAAACCCGGTCCTGTTGGGAGTCAGTGAGACGACACTGCTGTACGGGTGTGTTTCATCAAAACAGGCCGTTTAGAGTGGAGATACATGGGCACTTACCCAGGGCGGCATCAGAAACAACACATCCGTTATATTCTGAACCTGATTTTTCTGCTCAACCATGAGGGAAACAGATGAACAGTATGAGTTTTTGATAAAAATATATTTGATGTCAGTATTATGTTAAATCAACATTTTGAGCTTTACCATCATGTTATTATCTCATCTAAATCATACCTGGAGTGTTTGCATGATTCTTTTCTGAGAAATCATTTAATCTCCATGGCAACCATTCACTTGTGCAAAACGCCTGAGTGGCCCTAGCTCCACCTTTGAGACGCAGCTCATCCTCTAAGCTTTAGAGCATCTGCCTCACAGAGCAGACCTCCACTCTGCTCCTTCAGACTAGCCAGCAGCAATTAGCAAACACCTGGTGGAGCTGTTCATCTGCTGATCTCATAATAGGAGCTACTTCTCAGAGCAACGCTGGTAAAAACGTTTCAGAAAGGAGTTTCAGAAAAAAAACCTGCCGCTTCTTAAAGAGACAGAGGCCCAATTTCAAGGCAAAGTCAAATTTGACATATGTAGCATTTTCATAACAACTGAAGGTAACATAGTTACTTGTGTTATAAAATGGCTCCCTGTGCTTGGAAAATAAATAGTACTGCCCCTTTAACAAAGCTGAAGGAGGTTCATGGGAAGAACAGCCGCTGGTTGTTGAGATAAGAGACGTGAAGTATCCTGACCCATTCTTCATTTCTTTTTATTTAGCTGTGAAATACTTTCCAGTATCTTTTAAAGTGGTTTTGATTAGCAGCTCTTTTTGTTCTCTGGGGAAACTCTGGCTGCTTTTTACTCAGTTCAATATATAAACATTTTCAATATGTTTGATGAACCACTTTGCTCTGACAAACGAATCATTCAGGCATGAAAAGGCTCCTTAACAAAAGGAGTGAAGCAGCATTTTGTCAACAGAAGACACACACCCTACAAGAATAATGTTCTTGCAGCTGTAAAAATGTCCCAGCCTCACTGTATTTCACATGGGGGACAATGTGTGCAGCCTGATGTGCATCGTTTTTTTTATCCACTGTTACATTCCCTGAAATTATCCAGGGAAATATATGTGTAACAATAAAATACGCCCAAGAATGAAGAGCCAACAGAAGGTCAATGTGAAATAAAATATTTGCAATAACATCCAGAAATAAATACAAAGAGCATTTAAATAGACGGTTTGCTCAAATAGCTCAGATACTGCAGATCAATAAACCAAACTGACGGAGGAGAACAGGAAGAGCAGGAGCTTCTTAAAGAGACAGAGGCCAATTTCAAGGTGCTAAATTACAAAGCAAAATTTATTTTAATCCTTTTTAGACATATGCAGAATTTTCATAATAACTGAATGCAACATAAGTTGCATTTCCATTGATTATATATTTGACATTTTGAAAATAAATTTGCTTAATGGAAACATGCCAATTTACAAAAAATAAAATGTTTTGAAGCTACATTAACTGGTGCAATTTTATTACTAATTAATAATGTTTTCAAATAATTAAATGTTTATTGCAGGAATCCTGTCACTTACAGGATTCAGAGCAGAGCTAAACTTAGCATGCGCCTCTGTACGAAGCACCAAAACAAAACGTGTTTTGCATGTAGGCTAAACATTTAATGGCCTACAGATAATAAAAAATACCCATTAATATCATCAGGCGTCCCTTTCTTTATAAAGTATGCATAGAGTGAAGGTACATGGTGCCAAGTGTGGTTGGAATTAATGTTTGATATGCTAATCACTCTGAGAAGCACCTTGCAACACCTGCAAAGTCCAGTCATGCTTTACATTAGGATTTAAATTAAATTAAAACACTTCCCTGGGGCTGCTTCACTAATAAAACTGACTACAAATTTCCCAATTGTCTCCAGCGTTATCACCTCCTTTAGACCCAGACAACCTGCACCATGTTGGTTTTCATTAACCCGATATCCCAGCGACCCCTCTGCGACCTCCAGGGAAATCCCCCGTCATGTTCGGCTCGGTGCGAGTGAGCTCACCTGTGGCAGGAAAATGCCAGCGTCGGTAATAAGATTTGTGATGAATATCTGTGGCACGGCCTTGAAGTTCTTCCAGCATCTCAGTCAAGCCTGTGCAGAAATGGAAAAAAAAGTTTTAAAGTTATCCCAGAGACGGAGGACTAACCCTTGTTCTGACCACATGCAGATAAATTCATGGCAAAAAACACAGTTTATAGACTTCTGAAGCAAACAGCTGAACAAACAGTATAAACAACTTATGAAGAAAGATTTTCACATTTAAACTATGTCTCTTTTCAATCTGAATAAATGACAAAACCTGTCCCAAATATATTTAGCTAAAAATAATTAAAATAGGCAGGTTAGTAATTAATTTATCAACTTGCACAACCGAGTCTTGAGGGAATGAAAGGAGGAAGATGAAAGGTGATAACATTAACACATTACTTTTAAGCACTCCATTAAACACCATAAAAAATAAAGTTGAGGTTAACAATGTTAAAGCTGCTTAATTAGGTTTTATGGTGACTGGATTGTTAGCACTGCTGCCTTGCAGCAACAACGTCCTGAGTTTGAATCTCAGTCAAACACTTTTCTTACAGAGTTTGTAAGTTTTCCCCGGATAAGACCAGCAGCGAGCGTCTTTGCACTGTCCATAAATGAATCTTAAACATGGTTAATTATCCTGTTCACTGTTACAGACTGGTGATCTGTTCAAGAACAACTGCAATGGTATAGAAAACAGATGAATGGATGTTGCTTTAAGATGCAAATCAGATTATTGAGCTTCTTCAGTTGCAACTGTAGAGAAATATGATAACAGCATAATATTTAGTTGATGTTAATTCAACTAAAACAAGTTCTGCAACTTAGAAACACAAAAGAATGGTTTGTGTTTCATGCCTTGAGGGTATAAAGTAATTGTCAACAAATGTTAGAAGACAGCAACATTCAGAGGCAGAAACACGACGAGACTGGAAAATAAAAACAGTCTGTGGCCAGCAGAGCAGTAAAGGTGATGACCTCTGGAGTCAGGCAGCAGCTCCAGCAAATTACAAGAAAATAAAACAGAAAAAACCCAAAAACACAGCAGATACACTGAAAAACATCATTTGAGTTTAAAGACTGAGTAAAAATCCCCAATGTTACTTAAATGGAAGAACATCTCTATTAATGTATGCATGACATGATTTTTTTTTTATAATTACTTTCATACTTTTGGATCCAGTGTTAGCATAATTCATTTGTACGTACATGTAAATGATAGCCCACATATAAACTTGTAGTTTCCTGACAGATTGATGACACGTTAAGCACATGAAGTTGGTTCATGGACACAAAAAGTCAATTAAAATCTCATAAAACCATCAGGATTTATTTGAAAACAGTGAAAGAAAAACCCAGTTCCCCCTGACAGCCAGGTTTCTCTTGGATAATGTGAACATGATCTCTTCTGTCTGTTCTCACTCACTGCCTCTATCATTTTTCTGAGTCTAGGTCAGAGTTTTTCAACCACTGTGCCGCGGCACACTAGTGTACCGTGAGTGATCGTCAGGTTTGAACCATGCGGCTTTTCTGTGGATTTTACTTCAACCACCAGGGGGCTCTCTAGCAGGAAATGAATCATTGGAAGTCAAAATTGGAAATCAAAGAAGAACGCGCTAATTTTCATTTAGAACAACCACATGCTAGCAGCAGGCTCGTCAGAGAAATGTTTTCAAACTCATATGACGCAGCTTCTAAGTTGAGGAGTATCGATCTGGCAGCACAGGAGGGAAATAATGCCGCTGCACGTAAACTCGGCGTGAACAAAACCGGATTTGGAGACGGAGAACTGCGTCCTTAATATATCCAGCAGTTATTAGGATGCAGCCCTCTGCTGGGTCCTTATGGGAAACCGAGAGCATACCAGCGGCCTGTAAGTTTCCGGGGGGTGTCCAAAAAATTAAAGGTACGGTTTATAATATGGTGCGCTCATAGTCCGGAAAATACGGTAATTGGTCTTAAAAGATTTTTGAAAACGAATGAATTATCTGTAAATAATGCCATCTTTGAGTGTCTTTGCTGTAGTAGTGACTAGCGGCGTAATCATGTCATTTTATTATCACTAGATGGCAGCAGGTACAGAGCATTTTACATTAAAACAAGAGAATTAGTCACACGACAGTGTTGTGGCTGTTCAGGTGTTCAGGTGTATTTTTGAAGTGGACATGTTAAGTGCAATTTGAAATAAGAAATATGATAAAAATAAATGTTTGTGTTTATTGGATTCCTATTAAAGACACTTTGATAAGAATGACTATATATGTAATATAGGCGGCTACAGAGTATCTTTGTTTTTTGGTTGGTAGTGTGCCTCGTGATTTTTTCAATTAAAACAATGTACCTTGGCTCAAAAAAGGTTGAAAAACACTGGTCTAGGTGAATGCACATGGCTGCTTTCATAATCATTGTTTTCAGTTGAATTGGTAATTACAGTTTGTGAGCCGGTTTAAAAACACTGTCTAGTCTTTTAATATGACCAGCTGCTGTTTATAAATCCAGACTAAGACAATGTGTGGAACTCCTGTTTATAAAACCTGATCTAAGATCAGAAAGGAGATTTCACAAACACCTGTTCTGTTAAAGAGTGTTTTTAAATCAAACTGCTGATATCAATGTGTGCCGTAATCCTCCACAGAATCTCAGAGTCCCTCAGAGGGAGGACCAGGGATTTACTGGGAGAGACGGTTTTAGAAAAACCAGTTGGTTTCTGTTTTTCCAGAGCCAGCTCTCACACGCTCCTGGTTTAGCGCTGCGACCGCGGTGCTGGAAAAAACAAATGTGTTTGCCTGTGTGTCTGAACCGGTGGTTCCAAACTTCTCCTCATTAAAAATTATGAAGCCACCTTTGGCTTGGGGCTCTTTCAATATTGTAAAAGTACACTGCGTCCCGCAGCAGATTTGTGCTTTAACTGAAGCCCGCCTCGCAGGCCTGCAGAGGATTCCTCTGGACCTTTTTGGTTCTGCATTTCAGGCAATTTATTATATCATGTTCTAATCATGATGAACATTTACCATGTTTTTGGCATGGGGAGAACAAAGCAGCTAAAATTAAAGCTTATGGCTTCAGCTTCACCTTCTACTCAAAACATTCAGATTTATTTATTTTCATAACTTTTCAACGTTTCCCCATTTTATCTGAAGTGACTGTGATGATAAGGTTATGATGAGCTACATGTGTTCAACAGTAACTCTAGATAAGTGTGTGTAAGCACCTGTTGTTCCCAGATACATTTATGATTAATTTTGATTTAATATTTGAAACATCCTGAGTGCTGTTTTAAGAGGCTCTCTACTTGAGCTGAACATGGATCAGTCAGAAAACGTGACTGTTTGTGTCATCTCATATAAAGTGCACTTAAGACAAAAAGTCCCACATCAAATCCATTCGGTACGATCAAGGATCGCCAATTCTCCTGCAGCTGCTTGAGCTTTGAGGGAGAAAAGTAGTTCCCAGCATTTTGGAAAGCTGTCAACGCTTCCAAGTGAATTTGGGCTTTTTTTGCCGTTTGAATGAGATCCTCTCTTTGATAGTCTAAGAAGAACGATTACCGGAAAATTTTGTATGAAATTTAAGGGGTGCCAGTGCAGCTACCACTAAAAATCCAGCACACGGTTATTTTCAGAAATGAGGAGCCCACTTTGTAGTTTATGATGTTGATGTAAATTCATAATGTCAGAAATGGAAAAGTGTGTAAAAGTGTGAAAATATGAGCAAAGTTCAGCCAAAAGTTGTTGAGGAAAAAAATGACACATTTAATGAGATATTAAATGTGGATGGAAAGCAGAACGAGCAACCAAATCAAAACAGTAAAGCTCTCAGGTGTCAAACTCAAGGTCCGGGGGCCAAATCTGGCCCGCCGCAGCTTTTTATGTGGCCCTCTAGACTCCAAATTACATCAATAAGTTCCTCCAGTTTTTCACAAATCCACAAAATTCACACAAAATCAACAAATCTCCACATTTTCCTCTGATTTTACCGCAAATTTTCTCTGAATTGGTCCAAAACATTGAGTTTAAGTGACTGCTGCGTCAGCCTCACTTTATGTCCAGTTACAGTCTGCAACCAACACAAGGAGTAATAAAAAATCACATTCAACATCATACATCAGCTCAAATATCGTACAAATTCCTTACAAACATTTCACCTGTAAATCTGTAATTTTGATTGCAATAAAACACTAAATCAGAAAATGCTGGAGCTATTTATTTAGGCTAAAATATTACTTCAAGCTAACGCTACATGTGCTGGACGGACAGGGAGTTAAAATCCTCAGACAGCAGCTGCAGTAAAGTATTTGCTTCTTTATTTGGCACATAAAGAAAAATAATGCTAACAGTTCTGCACAGTCATGCATTATTATTGTTTGGACAAAGAGGTTATTAATATTAAGTGGATCTGCATAAATGATCAGGTATTTTGTATGGAGTGAAAACATGAAATACCTGATCCTTATAAACAACACACACTGTTCACTCAATTATCTTGCGTCTGTGTTTACTCAGAGTGTAACTGTCATAAACTTTGTCTTTTTCCTCAATGTGAATCGTTTTCTTCATTAAATAAAAGTAGAAAGAGAAGCTAAGCAAAACTGCAAACATTAAAACCTTTGAGTCTTTCCACTTATTTCACATCTAAGCAGCGATTGCAAGAATACATTAAAATAATTTGTCCTATAGGAGCAGTCGTCATGGTGCAACGTAAGAAAGCTGAAGTTGCTAAGTAATATAATAACAATGGACCCGGGAGAAGCCGAGTCAGCAGGGGAAGCCCACTCTTTTTCTCAGACTGGCATACAGAAACACAGACAGGTATTTAAGACTCAAACAAACATTCACTGAGAGGATAAATATGAGTCATTTCAAAACCATATCTGAGTCCGTCGTGACCGAACCCTCTGGTGACCACACATGGAAATTTGTATGTCTAGAGTTTTATCTCTGCGATACAACAGGGTAATTCCAGATTTATGCTGAAGAAGTAAAATGACTTTTCACCGTCTGCATTTTAAGGTTATTCACCAAAATCCCCTGATTGTCTGGGAAAAGTTTTCAGTGTTTGTGAATTTT